GAGAGGGTCTCACGACTCCAAAAACCGAGCTCCCCGAGTGAGCAATTCCTGTCCCTTTCCGTGAGCGGGTCATGGTTGACTGAGCAAGCAGTGAGTATATGACTCAGGGCTGCATGCACCGGTAATCAGAACAGAACAGAACAGGACAGGACAGGGCTTTTCACAGTGCTTTTCCATACAATGTCTGGAATCTATAGATAACGTAACTGGTTAGGTCGGGGTCGATCTTTAACTACCAGGCCCAGGGCGTGGTGCATGCTGTCTGCCTGTGGATTTCATTTCTGCCTTTTAGTTTTTACTTCTTTCTTTGGAGGCAGAAATTGGGCATAAGACAATATGAGGGTGGTCTCCTCCCTTAAAAGGACCCAAAATGCTAACAGGGACACTGACGGCACACAGAGATATAACAGTAACAGCAGGAAGCAGCTGGCATCCCTAGGACTTGGGAGGAGGATGGAGTTATTAGAACCTGGAGCAGAGAAGTGAGGGGGCTGCCCAGCTGGCGCTGCTACCTCAGGAGCTCAGAGAGGGACCTCATGATGCTGGTACCATGAAAGGCACATGGGGCTGCCTCTGGAAGGGCTGGGAAAGCCAGGCCTGTGACTAAGTGCTGCTGCCAGAGTGAAGAGTTGTTGTGGATGCAGTAGTGTCAGGAATAGGAGGCAAATCAGGAAAGAGCAAGTCCCTTTTCTCTCCTCCAGCATCCTTCCAGCACACCCATTGGCAAAGCCTAAAAGGGAGCCAGCTGGCCAAGGAGAAAAGTGCTATCAGCCCTAGGATCACAGGACAGAAAGAACAATTGGAAACTAACAGAAGAAAGCTTTTTATTAATTCACATAATCTGTCCTAAACCACCCTTGGATGTGCCAAGACAAGGAATACTGCCCTGACTGCAAATAGCCCTAGTTCCCAAATACGATCTGAAACCACTGTTTGACCCAAAGCAACTTTGCCTCAAAAAAATTCGTGTTACGTATGTTGTGCTTCCAAAACTGACTGCTGTCCAGGAGTGTGATCCAACTTGTCCTGTCATTACAAATCATACTCTGGCTTCACTATAATGGCCACTTGATGGTAGGTTTGTGAGAAGACAGCCCAACTCTAACTAGGTCTTAGATCACTCCAGGGCAAGTGACTGGGCATACTGCTCGGCAAGCATGCTCTTCAGAATTCTGCCTCCTGCATCTTGGCTCACACTCTTGAGACTTAGCACTACCACTGGAAAATTAGTGTATAATTGGCAGAGAGTTTTAGTTTGAGATGATCAAAGAGTTTTGGAAACAGATCATTGTGATGGTTATACAACATTGTGAATGTACCTAATGCCACTAAATTGTACACTTAAAATGGTTAAAATGGTAAATGCTATGTTAATATATCTTACCACAATAAAAAAGTTGCCAGCCAAAACACAGAGTGGGGAGTGGGAAATGATTTTTAAAACTTAAAGAGACATTTCAATCAAATGTAATGCATGAACTTGTCTGGCTCCTAGTTCAGAGACAAACTCTAAAAAGACAATTTCTATTAAAGCTAAATATATTCATAATCTATGACTTGACAATTTCCCTTTGGAGTATATATCCACCAAATTAGTGCTTAGGTCCACAAAAAAAATTTACAAGAATGCTTAGTGTATAACCAAAAGCTATAAACAATTTAAATGCCCTCAAGAGTAGAATGAACAAATAAACTGTACTAAATCCATATTATGGAATACTATAGAGCAATGAGAAGTTGAAATGAAAGAATGAATGTGTCACAACTGCAAAGATGAATCTCATAAATATAACACTGAGCAAAAGAAGCCAGAAATAGAGAACATATGCTGCACCATTCCATTTATATGAAGTTCAAAAACAGGCGAAACTAATATACAGTGATAGAAGTCAAATGGTGATTACTTTTATGGGTGGGAGGGAGGTGTTATTGGCTGGAGCAAAGCACAAAGGAATCATGTGGGATACAGAAAGTGTTCCATATCTTGACCACGGAGATAGTTACAAGAGTGTATCATATGGAAACATTTATTGAATGGTGCACTTAAGATTTGTGCACTTTTCTGAGTATATGTTATATCTCAATTTTTTTAAGCATAGAAACTAAAATAAAAAGCAACCTGAAACCATAGCTTCTATGGGGCTTTGTTTTTTTAATAACCAAAAATAAATAAATAAATAAATAAGGCCTTGGATCCTTCCCAAGGGTGAGAGGCTGGAAATGAGACCTACCCCATCCCCATCCTTGCTTAATATCATGTAAATCAAAGGCTAAGCCCTCAGGGAAAGAATGGACTAGAAAAGAAAGTCAGCTACCTTGGTTGAGGCTCTGGGCTGCGGGGAGCAAATTCTCCCTGGGGAATTTACAACTAGCTTACCCTTACATAAATCTATGAAGTTTTGGAAATTCTATCCTCTGAGAAACTAACATAAAGTTGTCCCAAGTTGGTGAAACTCCTAGGCACCACATAGAAATAAATAAAAAGAAATAGTTTCTCAACCAAGGCTGTCCAGCATTCCCACAAATAGATATGTGTGTGTTACCTCCCGATCCAAAAATGTAAAAAACAGGAAGAAACAAGCCACTCTGGGCAAGAGTTGGTAGAAACAGCATAGAGCAGAATTAGACTCTCCTATTTTTTTCAGATAGTGAAATTATGTTGCAAAATATAAAATATTTTTTAATGTCTTGAGAAAAATAAAGACATGAGAAAAAAGATTATGTAAAAAGATAAGAGATATTTGAAAAAGAATACAAAATAATGTATAGAAATAGAGAAGCCAATAAATTTTAAAAAGAGGGCAGGGAGTAGAAGTATTTCCAAAAATATTAATAGTTACAATTAATGTAAATAGGTCAAAATTACCAGCTTTTTAAAAACAGACTTTCAGAATACATTAAAAATAAAACACAGTTAAATGTTCTTTACAAGAACAAAATCTAAAATAGGAGAAGCCAAAAAGGATGAAAGTCATAAAACGGAAAAAGACACATCTGAAAAATAGTAACCTGAAAAAAGCTGGTATAATTACATCAATATCAAACAAAATAAACTTTAAGGATAAAAAGCTTAATCAATAATGATACAGGAGCAACCAATCTGGAAGATATAATCATCTTAAACTTGACCACACCAAGAACAGGATGTTAAAATGGGTCACCAGATGGGCAAGGTGGCTCAGACTTATAATCCCAGCACTTTGGGAGGAGGAGGTAGGAGAATCACATAAACCCAGGAATTCTAGTCTGCAGTGAGCCATGATCTTGCCACTGCACTCTAGGCTGGGTGGCAGACCTCATCTCAAAAAACTAAATTAATTAACTAATTTAAGGTAATGGGTTGTTTGGTGTGGTCTCAGTTATAGCCAAGACCCCAAAACTGAGAACAAATAATTTTAAGGCTGGCCATGGTGGCTCACATCTGTAATTCCAGCACTTTGGGAGGCCAAAGTGGGTGGATCACTTGAGCTCAGGAGTTCAAGACCAGCCTGGGTAACATGGTGAAACCCTGTCTCTACAAAAAAATTTTTTTAATTAGCAAGGTGTGGTGGTATGCACCTGTAATCTCAGCTACTTGGGAGGCTGAAATGGGAAGATCACTTGAGCCCAGGAGGTCAAGGCTGCAGTAAGTCATGACCACACCACAGCAGAACAACCTGGGTGACAGAGCAAGACCCTGTCTCAAAAAAAGAAAGA